GCACAGCAACGAAGACACAACGCAGCCAAACAACAAAAAAAAATACAAGATCTCCACTTAATTTGAACCTCAGATGAACAACTTGTATGTTCCAAGTGAAATTCAAATTGACCGGGGCATCCTGTATTTTAACACTCCCCTTGGCTGCATGACCCCCAAGCCTGATTTCCAGCCCTCCTAGATTCTGTGAGCTACTGCTCTTTCACTGATTATTCCCAGCTCGGCTGTGGCTGAACTAAAACGCTTTACACTGTGACTCTACCAACATGGGAAGACAAATGGAAGATCTAGAAGGCTGAGGGTTTCAAGAAAAAAAAATGGAAAAGACAAATTCTTTGTGTAAGAGAAAACAGTTCAATGTGCTTCATATGCAAAATGTCTTTCTAAAGAATTCCAATTAAAGTGTCTTTATAAAACAAATCATAACATACACTTGCTTCCTGTATTTCTGGTACGTGCCTGATCCCCATAAGCTTTGGAATTTGCAACACCTGAAATAGTTCTGCCCCTTTTCCTAATAGGTGAGTAATTAGAGATTTACAGAGGCTCTGTGCCTGCACTAGAATCACACAATCACACAGCAAAGCTGGGGTGGGAACACAGGTCTTGAGATTCACAGCCCCTATTTCCACCACTCCAAATTTCTAACCCAGAAGACCTTCGTTATAAGCATAGTGCACACGAAAATGCAAGATCATGAAACAGAAGGAATCATGTCTAATGAACAGCATGTTTCTACAAAGGGTAGCACAGTGCCTGAAACCGAACGGATACTTGTTAAGTGGATGGGTGGAAAAGTAGAATCTGTCCTTTAAAAAAAAATTCGTTATTTAAGTATTAATGTATTGAGATGTATTAAATGTTTGCCAACCCAAAGTTGATCTTTGAATGAAAGGACATAATGAGGTAGGTAGAGGGAACGCCATGAGGCGTGAGAAATTTTCATACTAGAGGAGGTGATGGGCAGGACTTCAACTAGCTTTCCTTTTCTGATGGCATATATCTGTTCAATCACTGGATCGATGAACCTAGATGAATTTAGCAGATCTTTCCTTTCACAACTGGAGAACCAGGTATAGACTAGTCTGGTTTAATCTTTATCAGCAACCTCATTTCAGTCTTAGGAATCTATCAGATTCACCAAGTCTAGATCTCTGCTGCCACCTAGTGTTAACAGTTTCTCAGGTTTAAAAAGGTAGAAAGTCAGGAAGCTCTGTGCTCTGAAAAAATTTCACCTGGAATTCCTTCGACAGTTTCTATTTCAGGATTTCCAACTCTATCAAAACTTTTTGTGGCTAAAACAAGAGAGAGTATATCTTCTATTTGTACTGCACAACTATTTTACCTCTGTTGCGTCTGTGTCCAAAATGTTTACGGAAGGAAAAATGTTTGATTAACAAACAGGTTGGCCCAAGCCTCTTAAAGCCAGCAAGTTTTGCTGGGAAAAGTGGGACATTTTCCTGACAGAAAAGAAAATCCACCTATTTTGGATACCATTGTTGATCTTTTCTCCCTTTCTTCCATTTCTGATCTCCATTAGAAAAAGAAGAACAAACACAGAGACGGTTTTGGAGGTGTTCTTCATCAACGATTCTCCCTAAATCAAGATAGTGGCAGAAGACAGTAATGTCTGGCCTGGCCCCAGGCCTTTAAACCAGAGTTACTCCCAGTTTGGACACAGAGGCATCCCTAGCAGGGAGGGCCAGGTTATGGAGGCCATACTTTCAATCTTCTGAAAGCACAGAGAGTGAGACAGTGCTTTCCTGCGTGGCAATCCAGAGCCGTGACAGCAAAGCTGAGCTCAGTGAGAAAAGGGACATCATTTCTATCTAATCGCTTCGCATCCTTTATACTGTATCTTGGCTGAACATAGCCAAATAAAGATAGTATTAAGAGGTTGTTATGAGAGTTATGTTACTGTAAGAGGAATACTTTTATGATAGAAGGAAAAGTCGGATACTCCTGTCTGTGTTTTTCCTACCTTTTTTTCTGTTAGTCCAAATTTAACGAATTTATCCATGGGCCTTCCCATACAGGACTTCCCAAACACTAACAGGCATCCCCCTTGGTGGCAAAGCTGGGGATTTCTGCTACTTGGTTCAGGAGGTAATAACCAGTCTCCCAGGATTAGTTGTATATTTTCAAAGTGATGGCCGAGTTCACATCCGTTATCTATTCCTGAAAGTTTTGACTGCTTTTCAATCACAAGTCTTACTGGAAAATAATGATAACTGCCATAAGGGAACAGAGTCAAAGGACGTGAGCTCAAGCACTGGGGGAACAGGAAAAGATTGTTCTCTGCAAATGGTGTGACTTAATTGAGGAACATGACAGATCCTCAGTACAGTAAGTCCCCTACATACAAACCTTCAAGTTGCAAAGATGAGAACGTGCCTGTCCAATCAAGTAAGTTAGTTCACGTGTCTGGCATACATTGTCATGTACGTGCATCATCTACAAGTGATTGTGCTTTTGTGTACTTTATTGTACAGTACCGTTGCTGGGTAACACGAGGAGCTTACTAATGAAGACCTGATGGAATTGGAGGCCCAGAGAAAGGACCAAGAGAGACAAGAGGAAGAAGTAACTGAAGAACCGAAGAGATTCACAACGGAGGAAATGGCAGGGGGTTTTCTTTATCTGAGGAGGCACTGTTAGTTTTTGAGGCACAGGACCCGAACACAGAACGGTACAAGAAGGTTGCAGCAGCCATTCAGAACGCAATCCAGTGCTACCGTGTCATCTGTGACGAGGAAAAAGAGCTACTACCCGTTTTTTCAAGAGGGTAGATAGAATTCAGTCCAGCAAGGAACCAGAACCTTTGCCATCAACGTCAGGCGTGAGTGAAATTGCAGCTGGCCCTCCGTCTCCTGTTGCTGATGATCCTTCAGCTCTACCATCTCCCACCTCCTCTCCCTCCTCCAGTCAGTAACTCTTCTTGCCTGTTCCCTCGATGCCAGCCCCTGTATGCCAGCTGTTGTGCTGTACTACTGTACTTTTCAAGGTACTGTACTGTAAGATTAAAAATGTTGTCTTTATTTTTTGTGTTTGTTTTTTATGTATTATTTGTGTGAAAACTATTATAAACCTATTACAGTACGGTACTATATAGCCAGTTGTGTTAGTTGGGTACCTAGGCTAACTTTGTCGGACTTACAAATTGGACCTACGAACGCACTCTCGGAATGGAACCTGTTCGTACATAGGGGACTTACTGTAAAAACTTGTCGACTTATCCCATGGTGCCATTACAGCAGTGTCAATATAAACAAGTGAACAAGAGTGAACAAATTCTGATGTCTTTGGCCACCTCCTTTATCCACTTCCCATGTACCTACTACACCTAGTTATTCAGCCCACTCTGCAAAGACGCTGGCATCTTACCTCGGATCATAGCCCAAGGTTAAAGCTCTGCTCTCACTGCACAGGATCCAGGCCTTTCTTATGTCATGGTGTTTTGTGCCCAGTAACACAGGGATGATGTTCATATAAGCATCATCCAAAACAGTGATTTGAAAACGTTTTGACCACAACCCTCAGGAAGGAAGGAATTTACACTGTGATCTGTTATACACATGTGCAGGTATGTGCATATACACTGGTAAACAAGTTACAGAAAACAATGTTTACCCTATGTCTGGTAAATTCTGATACGTCTCTCCTACTCTGTTTCATTTTTTAAAATTCTGGTGTTTATCCACTACATTGATTTCACAATCTATTGATGGGTCCTGACCTGTAGTTTAAAACACAGCGATGCAGACTTCCCCAGTGGCGCAGCGGTTAAGAATCTGCCTACCAATGCAGGGGACGCAGGTTCGAGCCCTGGTCCGGGAAGATCCCACATGCTGCAGAGCAACTAATCCTGTGCACCACAACTACTGAGCCTGTGCTCTAGAGCCCGTGAATCACAACTACTGAGCCCACATGCCACAACTACTGAAGCCTGCACACCTAGAGTCCGTGCTCCACAAGAGAAACCACCGCAATGAGAAGCCCGCGCACCACAACGAAGAATAGCCTTCGCTCGCCACAACTAGAGAAAGCCCTTGCGCAGCAACAAAGACACAATGCAGCCAAAAAATAAATAAATGAATGAAAATTCAAGAACAAAACAAGACAAACAAACAAAAAAACCCACAGTGATGTACAACACTTTCACATTTTGAGACATGGAGTTATATTTCTTAAGGTAATCAATTTGGAATTGTAAAATTCTAATAAATAAATATAGGGACTTCCCTGGTGGTCCAATGGTAAAGAATCTGCCTTTTAATGCAGGGGACGGGGGTTCAATCCCTGGTCAGGGAGCTGAGATCCCACATACTGCGGGGCAACTAAGCCTGCGCGCCACAACTACTGAGGCCGTGCACCTCAACTAGAGAGCCCACACGCCACAACTACAGAGCCCACATGCTCTGGAGCCCGCGCGCCACACCTAGAGACAGAAAGCCCACATGCCACAACTAGAGAGAAGCCCACGCTGCAACAAAAGATCCCTTCGTGCCGCAACTAAGACCCAATGCAGCCAAAAACATAAAAATTAAAAATAAATAAATATAAATTTCAGTAGCAATATTGAAAAGAAGATGTCTCTTTCCTGGCACATACAAAATGGGAAGCATTGAGAATCATTCTGAAGAATTGGTGGATGCAGATAAACATGGGTCAAAGCCTACGAAGGAGCCCAAGGGAAGAGTGAAGGCACTTACGGGAACCCAGCCAACCTACACAGTGGCAACGGGAGACTCTCACAGCAATGCTGCCATGTGATTTCATTTTCCTTTGTTAAAAGAAATGATTAAAAAAAAACTCTTGGGGTTGGGAAGAACCCTAAATGTCAAATTCTATTTTCTCCTGTTGGATGACAAAAGCAAATCAGCATTTCCTTTGAAAATATGAGCACTGACTTTGGTCCTATCCCAAAGAGTTAATTTCAGTTAGAAGTAGAATAAAAAAAGATTCACTAAAATATCATTCAACTTCATCTCTTTGTTTTTCAAACGATTACTAGAATTTTATTAGCCAAGGGAGAATAGCTGGAAGAGAAATAAACAAAAAAATACATCTTAAGGATCCTTAAGTACATTACATATTTATAATTTAAGTATATTTTAAAAAGCCACAGTGCATCAGTTCATAAATGCATAAACTTATGTCACAGGCCCATTTGTCCACTGTCCTTTGGCTCAGGAGACTGTCCTTTGCAACCAACCTTGATCTCTCTGATGGCATCAGAAAGGATGCTGTCGTCTTAAAGGTAAACACGGCTCTGGAGGCAGGTGCTTTTCTCCAAGAAAACTTCCACCTGCCTGTGTCCTCCTCCACCGACATCCATGCCACCAACAGCCAACAAAAGAGAAGCAAAGGCTCATGAACAGCTGGCACCGTGTCAGTCTTTGAGGAGAACACATCCCTGTCTAGTTAGGGGTGGGTTCTGGAGCCTCTCTCCTGGCAGAGAGCTTGTCAACCGGCATTGACGGGTTCTCTGGGATTTCCCACAACTCCCACGGGCTGTCAGCTCAGAAAGTGCTTTCAAGCAGGCAGTGGCACCCACACCCGGTGGGACACACCTCCTGGGTCCGAAACCACTCCATCATGTGGCTGGTGTGTCCCCCATGCCCGCAGGTCAGGCAGAAGTTGGACGACCCTCGCACGGCCACGTGGCAGATGGCACACTGGAACGTGAAGCCTTTGCAGATAGCGCACTGCGTGCCCCTGACCTCGCTCCGGCAGTGGCTGCAGTACACACCGAACTCTGGAGAAGGGTGGAGATGGCCGAAAAAGAGACATGGTGAGCTCAGTTCTGCAAAGGGGAACCAGGCATTGTGAGTAGTAACGAGGTGCTCATTTGGGGGACTCTGTAGGATCCTATTAGGCCCCTGCTGTTCAATTTTCTTTTTTTTAATGGCAGAACCCCTTCTACAACCTCACTAAGGAGCTGCTGTCATCACCACAGTGGAAGGGTGCGGGCAGAGGGTGCAGCAGGCGCCTTGCTCTCCGAGGCCCTGGGTGGAAACCCCAGTGTCTGCAGTGGTCGAGGCTCCACCTCATTCCTCTTCCACCCCAACAGCTACAGATGCAGAGAAGGCAGTTAACAAACATTTGTCTGCAAGCACTGAAGGATCAGTCGACACTCAGGCAAGAGCTGATTGGTCTTATAATCTCTTCCCTACCTGCCTGCCAATGACCCAGCAGCCTAAGATGGACGGAGTCAGGCCACCACAGGGCTGCCCCAGCGTGGGGGAGAGCGGTTAGGACCGCCCTCCTCTGCTGGTCCCCGCCTGCCCCGAAGTCCCTGTCTGCTTCAGCCACGGCCCTGGGGCCCGGCGGCCCATGTTAACGGCCCAGCTCCCTTGCTCACCCCCTGCTACCTGGAGATCCTTCCCCCTCCCAGACCGCCTTCCACTGCGCTGCATCGAGTGCAGACCTTCCCACGTGCTCTACGGGCTCTTTTGGGAAGGTCCCCTCACCACCTGGCCCTAACCAAACCCCGCTGCTTCTCGGCCTCCTCTGAAGGGAAGGCCAGCTCTGCCTTACATCCTAAGGATGGAGGGGTGGGAGGGGAGGGTGGCGCATGGCTGCCTCCAGACCGTACTCTCCTCTTGAGACTACTGTCCGCTGCCTTCACCAGCCTTTCCCCTTTCCCTCTACTGTCATCTACCGGCATTCTAGACACCCCCCCGCCATGCTCTGAAGACTTCTGCTCTTGGTTCTCAATCTTCCCTCCACCCCAATCCTTGGCATCTTCAAAATCCACTCCACTAACCCTCTGTACACCTGGCCTCCCAGGTCACTGTCCTCTCACCTCTAATCCACCACCGTCTTTCATTCTATCCAAAGTCCACTTGCACTTCCATGCGATCAGCCCCTCTCTGGCTGTAGTTTCCCCTCTGACCAGCCTGAATTACACGGTTCCACTTCATAGTCACTTTTTTTTTTTTTTTTGCGGTACGCGGGCCTCTCACTGTTGTGGCCTCTCCCGTTGCGGAGCACAGGCTCCGGACGCGCAGGCTCAGCGGCCATGGCTCACGGGCCCAGCCGCTCCGCGGTATGTGGGATCTTCCCGGACCGGGGCATGAACCCGTGTCCCCTGCATCGGCAGGCGGACTCTCAACCACTGCGCCACCAGGGAAGCCCCATAGTCACTTTTTTGCAAATATCCTGAACTCCTTGGCCCCTCTCTCCCTCACAGTACCACCTGGCAAAACCTTCACCTGGATGAGCCCCATCCCTGGCCTCCTCCGCGTCAGCCCGGGAGTGTTCCCATGGGAAGGCGCACCGTCAGGATGCTCGTCTCACTGACCGCACCTCCAGGTAGACTCCTGGCTTGTGTGCAGTGGTCAGGCTCTTCCTCCCCGACTCCCAGGTGCCCACCTCACACCTCTGCCATGTTCTTAAACCCCTCCCACATGCCTCTCTCTCTCTCACCCGATGGCCTCTTCCCTCCCTTCCCTAAGAAAAGAGAAGCCTTCCAATGGGGGACACTTCATCTCAACACCCCCAAATCGTCACATCTCCCTCTTCTTTCACCTCCTACTGTAGAGGAAGGGTCCTGGTTTCTTTCTTCCATCAAAGCCAGCTCCTCTGCTTCACCACAACACATAGTCATAAACACGGACAAATGGAGACTCTAAATACATGGCAACTAAGGAAAAAATTTTATGGTCGTTCCTAGTTAAAGCAAATCCTGAGATAAACTGGTTTGAAAATTTGGGTTAAAAATAGCTATGTCTTGGGACTTCCCTGGTGGCGCAGTGGTTAAGACTCCACCTGCCCATGCAGAGGTCACGGATTCGAGCCCTGGTCCGGGAAGATCCCACATGCCATGGAGCAACTAAGCCCGTGCACCATGATTACTGAAGCCCGCGTGCTGCAACTACTGAGCCCATGTGCTGCAACTACTGAAGCCTGTGCACCTAGAGCCTGTGCTCTGCAACAAGAGAAGCCACCACAATGAGAAGCCCACGCACCGCAAGGAAGAGTAGCCCCCGCTCACTGCAACTAGAGAAAGGCCGCACACAGCAAGGAAGACCCAACGCAGCGCCCCCGCCCCCCCAGAAAAAAGCTGTCTTCTTTCTCTAAGCATAACTTTTTAAAAAAAATTTATTGGAGTATAGTTGATTTACAATGTTGTGTTAGTTTCAAGTATACAGCAAAGTGATTCAGTTATACATATATATGTATATTCATTCATTTTCAGATTCTTTTCTCATATAGGTTATCACAGAATATTGAGTAGAGTTCCCTGTGCTCTATAGTAGGTCCTAGTTGGTTATCTATCATATATAGTAATGTGTGTATGTTAATCCCAAGTTCTTGATTTATCCTTCCCCCGTCACGTTTCCCCTTTGGTAACCATAAGTTTGTTTTCAGTATCTGTAAGTCTGTTTCTGTTTTGTAAGTAAGTTCGTTTGTATCATTTAAAAAAAATCAGATTCCACATATGAGTGATATCATATGGTATTTCTCTTTCTCTTTCTGGCTTACTTCACTTAGTATGATAATCTCTAGGTTCATCCATGATGCTGCAAATAGCATTATTTTGTTATTTTATGCCTGAATAATATTCCATTGTATATACGTGTCACATCTTCTTTATCCATTCATCTGTCGGTGGACACTTAAGTTGCTTCCATGTCTTGGCTATTGTGAATAGTGCTGCTATGAACATAGAGATGAATGTGTCTTTTCAAAGTATGTTTTTCTCTGGATATATGTCCTGGAGTAGGATTGCTGGATCATATAGTAGTTCGATTTTTAGTTTGTTAAGGAACCTCTATAGTGGTTACGCCAATTTACATTCCCACCAACAGTGTAGGAGGGTACCCTTATCTCCACACCCCCTCCAGCATTTATTGTTTGTAGACTTTTTGATGATGGCCATTCTGACTGGTGTGAGGTGATACCTCATTGTAGTTTTAATTTGCATTTCTTTGATAATTAGTGATGTTGAGCACCTTTTCATGTGCTTTTTGGCCATCTGTATGTTTTCTTTGGAGAAATGTCTATTTAGGTCTTCTGCCCATTCTTTGATTGGGTTGTTTGGGGTTTTTTTTGATACAGAGCTGCATAAGCTGTTTGCATATTTTGGAGATTAATTCCTTATTGGTCGCTTCATTTGCAAACATTTTCTCCCATTCTGTGGGTTGTCTTTTTGTTTTGTTTATGGTTTCCCTTGCTCTGCAGAAGCTTTTAAGCTTAATTAGGTCTCATTTATTTTTGTTTTTATTTTTATTACTCTAGGAGACAGATCAAAAAAGATATTGCTGCGATTTATGTCAAAGAGTGTTCTGCCTATGTTTTCCTCTAAGAGTTTTATAGTGTCTGGCCTTACATTTAGGTCTTTGATCCATTTTGAGTTTATTTTTGAGTATGATGTTAGAGAGTGTTCTAATTTCATTCTTTTACATGTAGTTGCCCAGTTTTTCCAGCACCAGTTATTGAAGAGACTGTCTTTTCTCCATTGTATATTCTTGCCTCCTCTGTCATAGATTAATTGACCAAAGGTGCATGGGTTTATCTCTGGGCTTTCTATCCTGTTCCATTGATCTATAGTTCTGTTTTTGCACCAGTACCACACTGTTTTGATTGCTGTAGCTTTGTAGTACAGTCTGAAGTTAGGGAGCCTGATTCCTCCAGCTCCATTTTTCTTTCTCAGGATTGCTTTGGCTATGTGGGGTCTTTTGTGTTTCCATACAAATTAAAAAATTTTTTGTTCTAGTTCTGTAGAGCATAACTGTATATATTATGTAAGACTTTGCTTTGTGTTCTCATTAAAAACTGGTTAATATTTCTTAAGTTTCCTTTACTGGTTTTATTGGTTTGAAAAGATTCAACATTTAAAATTATGAAAATGTAAAAACTGTGTGTTCACGTAAGCTGAATGATAATAACACGTCTTTTTAAAAGGGTTGTTCTTTGGCACTTGAGATAACTGTATATGTAAACTATTCTCCACTTCTATCTGGGTAAAATAATTAAAATGTCATCTTGCTGAAAAATTCCATACATCATTAGTAATCATGTTTCTTTTTAGTGTGTCACTTAAACATAATTTCTAACATCCTTATTAACTTTAAGACTTTGAACTTATACTTCACTTAACTAACAAATAATCTTTAGGGGTGTGGACAATTTCTAAATGGATTTCAATTCCCAAAGAGAAAAAATACAAAAACACTAAGTCGCTGAGCATAATTTTAATATTCTTTCTTGCCGCTCATTGTTGCACATAATGGCATGACCACCAGTTAACAGTTGGTAAGAGTATGCATCCACTTTGGGTGATGCTGGTAAATGTGCTAACTTTTGTCACTTTAGGAGGTACAAAGGGATGTGGAATGTGTTCAAAATCGCTTAGAAATGTACAATCTCCCAAGACTGAACCAGGAAGAAAAAGAAAATATGAACAGACCAATTACCAGTAATGAAATTCAATCAGTAATTTAAAAACTCCCAACAAAAAAGAGTCCAGGATCAGAAGGCTTGACGGGTGAATTCTACCAAACATTTAGAGAAGAGTTAACACCTATCCTTCTCAAACTATTCCAAAAAATCACAGAGGAAGGAACACTCGTAATTTACAAGGTCAGCATCACCCTGATACCAGAACCAGACAAAGATACCACACACAAAAAAAGAAAATTACAGGCCAATATCACTGATGAACACAGATGCAAAAATTCTCAACAAAATTTTAACAAACTGAATCCAACAATACACTAAAAGGATCATACACGTTGATCAAGTGGATTC